AAAAAGGAGATCTATTAACATAAATGCATCGACAGTTTCACTTTCAAAAATGCATAATTAAGTATAATTCGAATAATTGAAATACGTATAATATTTTAACGGCAGTGCATAATTCAAAGGATTTCACAAAATACCCTACTGGCGTCCCAAGTAGGTCACGTATATACCTCATCAGCGTCCTGATGGGTCCACTTATTCCCTATCGGCGTCCCAGATAGGTCCACTTAATCCCTCTAGGTCCACTTATGCCTCACCGGTGTACCGGATGAGTCCCTATCGACGTACCGGATGGGTGCACTTATACCTCACCGTCGAACCGGATGAGTCCACTTGCATACTTAAAGTATTTCTAAATCTTTTTAAACATTCAAAAGCAGCAATATTATGTACTCAACGTTTCACTGAAATTATTAATATGAATTTCACTGAAACCATTAATAACAGTCACTTTCAATAACATTTCAAAAATAACCAGTCAAATATTTTGGGCTCAAATTCAGAAAGGTAGCAGTTCGTAAAGACATTCTAGCATAATTGCCAATCTAGTACGTATTGAAAAACTCTTATAGAAATCCAAGAATACAAAATTATCACAATTTATGGGATGTCAATTCGCAAATAAACATTGCACAGACAACGCTATAATCAAATGCAAAAATATCAGTTTTCAAATAATAAGGCAGTCATTTGCACATGAATTTTGCAATGTCTAAATATTCAAAAACAATAGAAAGAAATCTCACAATTTTACTAAAAGCAAAAATATCACATTTATTTCTAATAATTTTACAGTATCTAAAATTTTCTAACAATTGACAAGAAAAATAAATTTATTTCTAAGAATTTAGAGCATTTAAAATTTCTAACATAGATATATCACAATTTTATTAAAAGGATTATTTTTTCGAGACAATGAGGTCACTTACAGTTGCTCATCAGATTTGATTCATCGGAACCATATATAGGTCTAGACCTTCAAAATGGTCTAAGAGATTCAAGGTTTAGAGTCCCTAAGCTTTACTTTGTACGGTTGCTGCTCTCGCCTTTTTATTTTCTTTGGAGGAACTAACCCTTGTCGGATGGTTAAGCCCTTTGAAATTGCCGATTACATGGCAGAAGTAAAAATTATATAAGCGAAGGAAGACCTCATTACTAGGCTGTTAAAAAGGGATGGTCGGAGAAGGACTGCTCCAAGAGAAACATCAAAGTGTGCTTTCCTGTTATGCTCAGAACTCATACGTATATAAGGACAATAAGGGAGAACACTTTTTTTTTCTTCTAATGATTTACAATATTTAAAATTTCTAACAGTAAATAAAATTTCCCAATTTTACTAAAAGTTTATTTTTTCAAAATAATGAGGGTTTGCGCATAAAATTTATTGCGCCTAAAATTCATGATAATAAACAGAAGTAATTATTTCATTTCATTTTTATAAAGAACAGATTATTTTTCAAGATAATGAAGTCACTTACCGAAAATATTTGAGAGGGCGCTTCCGATAATAATTCGGCTAGAGAGAGGAGCTCACTGTGTTTGTAGAGGGAGAGTGAAAGTGGAGTTCTGTAAGGCGATGCCTTACACTTCACCCTATTTAAATCTTTTAAAACGCCTCCACCTCATGTATGAGGTGTAGTGTAAATGTCTACCTTTAACAAATGAAAACCACGTCCACTAAAGGATGTGGCAATGCAACAAAGCTTAAACCAAATGGAGGTAAAAACTTTTAAAAGTAGTGATGGTCCATAAGGACCATATTACTCATATGGACCATCACTTATTAAAAGTTTCTTTTTTTTCTTCCTCTTTCTTTGTTTATTTTTTTTATTTTTTTATTTTTTTATTTTTTTTCAAATTTTAAGATTATTACATCTAGCTAAACCTCTTGACTGGTAAACTCACTGAGAAGCGAAGAGAGAGAGAGATGGAGTTTTAGAGAGAGAGAGTTTAAATAGAGTGTCATTTTAGTGTTTGTTTGGATAAAAAATTTATGATCAAAGGGATCCCGAGAGTTGTAAGATAGAAAAGATAGAGATCATTTGCTTACGAGTAATATTTTCAATTCTTGAGTCTCATGAGATATGATAGTTAAAATTAAGGGATAAGAAGATATTTTTCCTATGTAAAATGACATAAACACGTCTCTTAAGAAATATGATTTTACAAATTTTCCTCCAATTAAGATATTGTTTTTAAACAATACTATTAAAAGTTTTAGAGGCGCTCCACTAATTCATGTGCGTGCAGATTAGTAGGACTGTCCCTCATATTTATTTACTTGTTGACGATATTCTTCCTATGTATATGCCACATGGATGATTGATGAATAAGATATATAATTTTTTATAGCTATTGTTTGTCCCAGATATCAACGGTTAGATAAGGAAAAGTACAAATAATAGTTTCAAAAAACATTTAAATACAGGAAATAGCTTATATAGAGCCGAGGTTCTAAACAATCAAATTAGAGCCCACCTCAAAAATTTCACTATAAGAGGTTGTTTTGATGCCCAAATATCCTCAAATTGTTCATCACGACATCAAGATGCATAGATATGAGAAAAAAAATGGATTTTTAGTTTTGAAAATTTGTAATACATTTTTGGACTGTCAATTTTTAAGATTTTCAAGTTTTTATATATCTGCTGGATCTATACTATTTCTGAAGATATTTTAAGGCTATCACAAAGATTTACACTGTTGAAACCACATGTCTCGACGCTATTTGAATGTGCGATTTATTTTGATTGTTTAGATCCTAGGCTCTATACAAACCGCACCCTTATATAAAAAGCATCTATAAATTTAAAAAAAACACCTCCATTCAAATAAAATGAAGTAAAAAGTTTATATGATGTTGCAATCTTGTACTATAGAAGTAAGTTGCACCTGAAAATTAAGTAGAAAAGAGTATTTTGAAGTTGAAACCAATTGATCATCATGACTTCGAGATATATAGATATTAAAAAAACATAATTTCAAGTTCTAAAAATATTTTTTTTTATAAATAATAATTTGGATCGTCAATTTTAAAGATTTTTAAATATTTATAGATCTGCTCGATCTGTACCATTTTTTAAATTTTAAAATTTCACAATTAGAATAAATATAGGCTTTCAAACCATCTTAAAATTTACAATAAGGGAACCACATCTCCCAGCAAAATTTAGATATGCAACTTACTTGTATAGTAGTGTGCAACTCATACAAACCTCATTCTAAAATGAATAATATAAGGGTGAGGTTTGTATAAGGGGTCAACCTTATACTATTGAAATAACTATTGCAATTTGGGCGCTATATAGTCACATGAAAATTTATTGCTATCCTCAATTATGAAATTTAAAAGTTCTTGAAATGATGACGATTAAACATATCTATACACACTTAAAAATTTTGAAAAAAAATTGAAAATAGACCGTTCAAATAACGAATTAGAAGAGATACGATTTTACGATCATTAAAAAAAAACAAAAAAACAAAAAAAGAGGAACCCTTCTCCAGTGGAATTTTTTAGTGTATCGTACTTGTCGTGACACGTTATACAAAGTTTTTCCGTAATGGAATTGCCCAAGCTTCATGAATGGGGAAGAAAACCCTAATGAAGGAAGGAAGGAAGGAAATCTTGAATACAAAACCAATGCGAATATGGCCTACTCCTGCGTGGGATCAATGCGAATATTCCCTAACTACCCTTGTACAAATGCTTAAAATCCCTCAACTCCTCTGACCTCATCAGATATCCGTATTAACTCGCCTCCTCTTCATTGTGCATCAATGGCTCATTCTGAATACATCAGTGTTTCAAAACCCGAACCGTTTGGGTGGATTCTCGGTCTCCATATTGATTTTGTTAGATCGATGATATTAAATTTTGTTTTTCAAAATAATGTATATAAATTCTTAAAAATAAAGAATTTGATTTGTAATACATTTTTAAATATTTTTTATATTATGGTAAAGATTAAAATTTGTTTTTTTCATTAATACTCACTTTAATTAAAAAACGATTCACTAAAATCTATTTTTTTTCATTAATTTTCAACTTCATTTGAATGTATTTGGTTTTAATTTTTTTTTTTGGGAAAAGTTTATATAAGGTTGTAACCTTAAAATGTAGAATCACACATGCACCTCAAAAATTCATCGAAAATGTTGTTTTAATGTTGAAAAAGTCCTCCAATCATTCATCTCGACATCGAGATCTATGAATATGAAAAAAAAAAAAGTGTTTGAATCTCAGAAATAGTGCATTTTGCAACACATTATCTAGACCATCCATTTTTTAGATTTTCGTATATTTATAGATCTACCTGATTTTAACCATTTTTGAAATTTAAAATTTTTTAATTAGGTATGAAAATAGATTTTAAAATAATACTAAGATTTTTTTACAACAAAATTACATGTTATGATAAAAATTTAAGGTGCGCTTTAATTGGATTGTTTAAGGTTGCAACCTTATAGAAACCACACCCTTTTTTTTGGATATCTTTTTTATTTTTTCAACAATTTTTTGACGGCCCAGAATTTGTCCGGTTAGAACAGTTGAATCGATCGGTTTACCAGTTAGATCGGTTAAACCGCTTTCGAACCCATATCCAATTAACTGCTTCGATTCGATTTTGGAGGCACTGATTCAAGGTTCTCATCCTCGGACTGTACTTTATATTATTATTATTTTATTATTATTATTATTATTTTTTTAAATAATGGTACGAGGATGAGGACCTCATACCGCTCTATTAGGGTTTTGGTATGCCCGTAGCGCAATCCGAGGATTCTAACCTCGGATCGTCTGAATAGTGCTCCTAAAGCATGGGGCACTTCCCTTGTAATGAAAAAATTTTAAAAAATTAACATAATTGATGACTCTCGGACCGTATCGTAATTTTGAAAAACATAAAAAAAAAAATGCAGGTCCACCGACTTTCTTTAGAAATTCCGCCTACAATTAATCATGTCGGGTAATTATTTTTTGTACGTACTTAATTTACTCTTAATTTTCCCTATGTCCTCGCTGTATAAAGTAATGCGCCCCTGTTCGTCTTCTCAACTAGTGTTCTCTCGCTCTGTCTCTCACATCAGTCAAAAATGGCGAAAGTCAACAATCTTCGTCTTCTATTCGCTCTCCTCGCCTTCTCCTCCTTTGCTCTCACAGTCTCCTCTGTAAGTACATCAACACCCTCAATGGCTAAGCAATTGATAGATCCACTCCTTTTTATATAAATATGCTTCATTTCTAACTTTCTTCAATCCACATTCTCTCTTTCATTTGTGATCTGAGAAAACCCTAATTATGCATCAGAAGAAAAACCCCAAACCAAATAACTCCTTACCATCAAAACCAGTAAAAAAAGAAAACAAATCTGCCTTGAAAAAAAAAGCCCCAACTCTCATATAACTCTCCTTTTTTTTTTTTTTTGCAGGATGATTGTGTGTATACGGTCTACGTGAGAACGAGCACGATCTTAAAGGGCGGCACCGACTCCATCATAAGCCTTGAGCTCAGCGACACATCGGGCGGAACCGTATCCATTCCGAACCTAGAGTCATGGGGTGGGCTCATGGAATCCGGCCACAACTACTTTGAGAGAGGCAATCTCGACATTTTTTCCGGTCGTGGCGCATGTCTTTCGGCCACGCCCTGTGGTATGAACCTTACATCCGATGGCTCTGGCTCTCACCACGGATGGTTCTGCAATTACGTCGAGGTCACCATCACCGGCGTGCACATGGGCTGTGCCCAGCAACTCTTCACCGTGGACCAGTGGCTCGCTCGCGATGCTTATCCCTACGAACTCACTGCGATCAGGGATTCTTGCGACTACACCATTCGAGGTGCAAAGGCAAATAGCGCACGTCGCTTTTCGAGTGCCAGTTCAGAGGGGTCGATTCGCTCTGTGGTGTGAGGTACCGGTATATAATAACTCGTTTAGTCACTTTGTCGAGTCAATTCGTACAGTGGTCGCTTTTATCATGAGTGGAAAACTCGAGATGTTTCTGAGTTCTTGTTTAAATATATTTTCCTACCTATATTTGACAAATAAATGGGCCTCTGCCAGTCTATTGGTAATTTCAGCCGATTTTATTTGAATCGGAGAAATGACTCGCTTAGTAATAGCTGAGTTCGATTCCGAGTTCGATTTGTTAAACACTTTTTTTTTCTCCCTTCTTTGCGGTATTTTAATTGGTTGGCATACCCTGTGACCGGATCGTGTCGTTTGACACCTTTTTGTTGGGGCTTAAATCATTTTTTTTTAAATGGTTTGATAGCGCTGCAGCTCTATCAATGGGAAAAGTTTATATAGAGCCATTGCTCAAAACAATCAAATTTGAGTCTACCTCCAAAATTTTATTAGAAGAAATTTGTTTTTGATGCTCAAATAATTGAAATTCATTATTTTTCATGTCCATGCGTATTGATGTCGAGATGCATATTGATGTCGAGATGATCAATTTGGAGATATTTGAGCATCAAAACAACCTGTTCTATTAAATTTTTGAGGTGGGCTTTAATTGGATTGTTTAGAGCCTCGGCTTAATATAAACTTTTCCCATGTTTTAAAGATCGGATTTAATTATTTGATGCCATTTCAATTTATTGGAAAATTATTTATAATAGAAGACCTACCATTCTTTAAAGTTTAAAGCGTGGCAAGTGGCAATATTAATTTGGATAGGTTGGAGTTTCGAAATTTAGTCGAGAGAAATTCAACGTTACCAAATTAGTTGAGTCGAGGAAAATTGGATATTCGAAAAAAAATAAAAAAATAAAATGGTAATGATGTAGTTCTCGACCCAAAAAAATTGGAAATCACAAATGGTAACTAGCTTATGGCACTCACTTGCGTTTCACGGTGCTTTAAATGGAAATTATTGAAATATTTATTTTATAGGAAAATATACAATTAGATTATTTACTTATGGTACATGGAGCTTAAACTCAATAATATCCATCACATTTTAGATTTTGTGGTTGTAAGTGTATTATTGATTAGATTTAAAATTTAAAGAAAATTTTTTTTTTTTATCTTCGTGACAATATTCCAAGTTATTTGATTTGACATCTAATAGTATAAGTGATTGTAATATTTTTATAACAATGATAAATAGTATTATAATATATAATTTTTTATTTTATTTATATTTTATTCAATACTTTTTGCAGCAATTTAATTTTAAAAAATATGTAAAAGAAAAATATACAATGGGACTATTTATATTTGGTACAAGGTGGTCACAATTAATCGTGACCGTTGGATGGGAAATTAGATGCATGCATTTAATCTATTGACCAAGCTCAAATTTTAAAAATAAATTTCTCAAACTTTGTGACGTGATCAAACTATTAGATTTCACATAAGATGGTGAGCTTTTTGTATAAAAAATAAATAGTCTCATTGCATATAATCCTAGGTATAAATAGATTATTTATTTCTTATACAAGAAAATCTCAAACATTATTGTATGTTGAATTTGAAATTAAGTAGGAGTAATAGTATCATTAACTAAAAAAATTTTAAAAGATATTTCAAATTTTGGGAAAATTATTTCATGCTGGACCGCATTTCTACATTTGCGATTCAAAAAATGTAAAGCATTCATCTTAAAGATGGATGTGTGTTCTATCTAAAAATAATGGAAACTAAAAGTCCAAATGTTTTCTTATTTATAGTTTTAAAATTTTATTTAATTTTTCATATTCATGATCTCCATGGTGGAGATTACATGTTTTTAAAAATAAAGTCCTAAATCCATCTCAAAAATAGATTTATTAAGAAGCCTGCATATCTATATATGCGGTTGGCCGCATAGAAACTGGATCTTAAATTTTGTGATACATCTTAAACTATCTAATTTAGATTACAAGAGCGGGGTTTATATAAGGCGTTAACATTATACTAGTGAAGTAAAATGTACCACAAAACTATGCCAAAAATGCAGTTTCAGTGTCTTAAAGCCTTGCGGTAATATGAAAATCTATACTGGCCCAATTTTTGAAGTTTAAAGTACCAAAAATGGTCCTGATCAAGTAGACTTAGAAACACTCGAAAATAGATGGTTCATATATAATGTATTTGAAGATGAACTATTTTTAGGACTAATTTTTTTTATGCCTAGAATTAGAATCGCGAGATTGAGGTGATCGATTTAAAGATTTTTCAATATAAAAACAACATTCACTGGATTTTTTTAGGTGCACCTGACCCGTACAGGAAAAAGGTGTACAAACTGTTTTTGTGCTTACTTGGTAGTATTTGTTGGTTGAATAGGGGATAAACTTTTAACTTGAACTTACATCATTGTCTTTTTGTTCATTACTTCTATTCATTTTACGTGCCGATCATAAATCTTCGGCGCACTTATTTTGCCAGCTGTATGTTAGGAAATCGTACACGTGAGCCCGGAAGAGTCAGCGTCAGAGTCAGAGTCATTTGATAATAATTAACGTCTTTCCTTTTCGTTTATGTGTCCACCCAAATCGCTACTGTGATGCCACGAGTCGAGTAGAATAATGGGTTCAAGAGAATGAGCGTGTGTGGACGCAGTTTCTCAGTGTCTTTGTTGGAGGTCCCCTATATGGTCGTCCCCCGTGACCAAATTATGCATCTGCTTCCCCGCGCAATACACATGGGGATTTATGTGGTCCAAGATCGAACTCAAATTTCCCCTATTTTGACATCCACAAGAATGGAGGTTCCAGGTCCAACCTTTCATTGGATTTTGATTTGGGCCCATTTTTTTTGCTCCCATTGTAGACTTTCTTTCTAATGTTCAGCTTTTTGGTGTTGCTCATGCTTAGGGTTGACAATGGACCCGGACCGGTTGGTATTCTACATATGGGTCAGGGTTTAGAAGTGGGTAGGGTCCGAATGCAATGAATGGTACCCGATCAGTCCCAGTTTGGGTACCAGTTTGGGTACAGATATGGTTATACCCGACCCGGTGGGTACCCAGATTCGTACATATTATATATAATTAAACCTTATAATTGAACTAACCTTATGTTCCTTGACCATTTATAGATCTTATACTCTAGGAACTCCATGTAGGGTATCCTGGGTAGGGGTACGGGTACGGCTGTACCCGTTGTCACCCTTACTCATGCGAGGCCTATTTATATGTTTATCTTTAAATTATTTGTTTGATTCAATACGTGTATGAAATGATCAGAATCCCAAATGGTTGAGATTCATGAAAGTTGATTTACGCAAGCCATTCTCATAATAGTTAGAAATTTTGAAAGGGACCACGCATTTAGAGGGTGCTTAAGGCTCATTTGAGCTCCATTTTGGATTTCACCTCAGTTTTGGTATTCTAGGAGAAAGAAATAGTCTAGAGTCTTAAGACTATCACGCTAAAAGACATTGCCTCAAAACAATAACATTACGCCTATTGGCCCATTCAATGGTCCGACTTATGGAGCATGAATATTAGGGTGGCTCTCGACAAACCGGCCGGTCTAACTTTGAACCGGCTGATTAAATCGAAAGTCGCCATTGGCTGAGCCAGTTAAGGGGTATTAAAAAAAATAAATTAAAAAATGACATATATAAAATCTCAAAAAATTAGAGATTTATTTGTAATGTGTTTTTTAATATTTTTTAATTTTTGAAAAGATAGAAATGTGTTGTGGCCATGAATACTTTTTTTGTGAATTATTTTCTTCTTTTGTGAATTATTTTAACAAAAAAGTTTATATAAGTGCAAGGCTCTAAATAATCAAATTAGAGTGCACCTCAAAAAATTATTAAAAAAAATTGTTTTGATGTTGAAAAACCCTCATCTCAACCTCAATATGTATAGACATGATAAAAAAAAGTATGTATCTTGTAAAGTGTTATCTAGACCGTCAATTTTCAATATTTTCAAGTGTTCATAGATCTGCTTAATCTACACTATTTTTTAATTTTAAATTTTATTATTAAAGATAAAAATAAATATTTAGGCCATCATAAAAATTTCTAATGTTAAAATAACATATTTCAACATTATTCAAAGGTGCGCTCTACTTTGATTGTCTAGAGCCTCGGCCTTATAAAAACCACACCCTTTTAAAAGTACATTTGGGCACAAATGTAATGTTTTAAAAAAAAATTATGGATTCCCTCTCAAAATGAACTTTGCAAGGATTTTACTTCCAATACTTTTAGTATCACACGAATAATCCGGTTACTATTTTTTCTTGTTTTTAACCTCGTCATGAAAAAAATCATTGTTTCAAAGACTAAACTACTTTTCTCTTGTTTTATTTTACCTATTAAATCTCTCCACCAGCCCTCTCTCTATTGCCTTTCCTCTTGGGTAAAGAGGGTAGAGAGAGAAAGAGAGATTTAATGAGTAGGGTAAAGGAATTGAATGGTAGTTTAGTCTTAAAAGCATTAATTTTTTGACAGGGAGAGTAAAAAAAAAAAAACAGTAATTAGGTCATGGAAGTGATACTAAAAGTATTGGGGGTAGAATGTTTACAAATGTCTTTTCGGGGTATCCATAATTTACCCCGTGTTTCGTTTAATTATGTTTTAAGTATACTTTTCGTATTTTTTAAAGATTTTTTTTAATTTTTTTTAACACTTTTTAGCCTGCTCGAGACCTACCTGATTAGGCCTGGTGAACAGCCGTTTTCTAAGTTACTTGGACACAGCCCTTGGCTGGTTTCTAGGTCTGGTTCGTTCAATCGTTAATACTGGTCTAAATACTAATGGGACAGGCACATTAGACCACTCAAGAAGAACCTGGGTAGCTAAACTATCAATGAAGATGATCATTAGATATCTTCCATTTGGGAGTGGACAAGAAAGGGAGATGGAGATTTGAAGAAATTTTTTGTTAGGTTTGGAATGACATCGTCAAGCACGTATGCATATGCACATTGGAGCATATTATGCATCGCCTCTCTTCCGCAAAATAGTCTCTTGCAGGATTTCTTTGATTTGAAATTTTAGGATCCATCTAAAAATCATTGAATGATTAGTTTTAAAAAATAAAGTTGGATTTTGAGCTCTACAACATTTAGATTTTGCCCTCCAAAAATTGGAAGGCCCCTGTTCAATTTTGGGACCGGATTTTAAAATTTTTGAAGACGGCCACTAC